ACTAAATCTTCCTTAATTCTAGGGATACAAATACTAAATTCTAGAGATGCAAATATAAATATACAGATTACAAGATTACAACCAGTTGTAAATAAGTGTTTTCCCACACTCCCCCTCAAGCTGGTGAATAGGTGTTTTCCATTCCCAGCTTGGAAATAATTCCTTGAAATGTTGCATTGCTGAGACCTTTAGTCAACACATCTGCAAGTTGACCCTTGGTTGATACATAAGGTGTACAAATCAACCCACTGTCTAGTTTCTCCTTTATGAAATATCGGTCTACTTCAATGTGTTTTGTTCTGTCATGTTGTACAGGATTGTGTGCAATGCTTATTGCAGACTTGTTATCACAGTAGAGTCTCATTGGTCCATCCCACTTGATCTTCAAGTCTTCTAAGATAATCTTTAACCATAGTAGTTCACAAATTCCTTGAGCCATTGCTTTGAACTCTGCTTCAGCACTTGATCTTGCCACCATATTCTGTTTTTTACTCCTCCAAGTCACAAGATTACCACCTAAGAAAGTACAGTAGCCTGAGGTGGATCTTCTATCAGTTACTGAACCTGCATAATCAGCATCTGTATATGCTTCTAGAACTAACCCCGAATTTCTTTTGAATAAGATACCTCTCCCAGGATTGGCCTTCAAATAGTGCAATATACGGTAGACAGCCTGTAGGTGCACTTCTTTAGGACTATGCATAAATTGACTTACCACACTCACAGCATATGCTATATCAGGTCTAGTATGTGAGAGATAAATGAGTCTTCCAACTAATCTTTGGTAGATCTCTCTATTTTACAGCAGCATCTTCATTAGCTTCTCCAATTTTATGATTAGGATCTATAGGGGTATTTGCAGGTTTACATGCAAGCTTCCCAGTTTCCTTCAGAAGATCCATCACATATTTTTGTTGTGAGATAAAAATACCATGCCGTGAGTGAGCTACTTCAATTCCTAGGAAGTACTTCAATCTCCCTAGCTCTTTTATCTCAAATTCTCTAGCCAAACACTGTTTTAGAGATTCTTTTTCTTTTTCATCATCTCCAGTTACAATTATATCATCAACATACACTAATAGAGCTGTGACTCTCCCTGAATCAAAGTGCTTGATAAACAATGTGTGATCTCCTTGACTCTATTTATATCCCATTGCTAGCATCACTTTGGCAAATCTCCCGAACCAAGCTCTAGGAGACTGTTTAAGGCCATATAAAGCCTTTTTTAGCCTGCATACTTTGTTTGCTTCTAGATGACCTCCAAATCCCAGTGGAACCTTCATATATATTTCTTCTTCCAAATCACCATGTAGAAAAGCATTCTTTACATCAAATTGTTGTAGCTGCCAATTGTAATTTGCAGCCAATGATAACAAAATCCTAACTGTATTCATCTTGGCAACTGGAGCAAAGGTTTCCTGGTAATCCACTCCATAGGTTTGAGTGTAACCCTTAGCCACTAACCTGGCTTTATACCTTTCAACAGTACCATCTGCCTTGTATTTTACAGTGAAAACCCATTTACACCCCACTGAATTTTTTCCTTTAGGCAACTCTACCCAGTTCCCATGTCTGATTTTTCTCTAAGGCCTCCATTTCTATTTTCATGGCTTGCCTCCATTTCTCACTGGATAATGCCTCAGATAATGTAGTTGGAATAGAAATAGTATTTAGGCTCACAAGAAAACTTTTGTGGGATGGTGAGAATTTTTCAAATGACACAAAATTAGATATTGGGTATAGTGGATGCTTGGTACATTCTCTGGTTCCTTTCCTAACGGCAATAGGCAAATCATAATCACTAGTTATAGTTTTAGGAGATTCATGCTCATTTTGAGAAACAGAGTCAAAAACTGTAGTTACCTCATTTCCAGAGTTAGGATCAGGTTCTTGGACTGGCACTGGTTCAGGATCTGGAACTTTCCTTCTTGAGTACACCTGTAATTCCTTCATAGAATCAAGAACAATATTATCCTTTGTCACATCTTTCATATTTGAAATGAGTTCAGACTCAAATTTAGTGTTTGACTTGGGCTCAGCAGAAACAGGTTTCGACTCAGAAGAATTAATGGGTGTAAATGTTGAAGAAGGAGGCAAATCAAGCAAAAAGAAGTCTTTATCCTTATCTTCCATGAATGAAGTCTCCCCCTGAAGATAAGGTTGAGTAAAAAATGGTTTATTTTCTTCAAAAGTGACATCTGCAGACACATAAAATTTTTTGGTAAGAGGATGATAGCACTTATATCCTTTTTGAGTTGAAGAATACCCCACAAAAATACACTTAATCGCTCTTGGATCCAACTTTCCCCTGTTATGACTGTGCACATGAACAAATGATGTACAACCAAATATCCTAGGTGTGAGATTATTTGTGGTATTGAGGTTGGGATAAAATTGTGAGAGTGTTCCATAGAGTTTTAAATCCCAAACTCTTGAAGGTAACCTATTTATAATGTGTGTGGGCAGTGAGAACAGCTTCCCCCAATAAGATTTAGGTACATTTGCTTGAAAAAGAAAGGCTCGGGTTGTGGCTAGTAAATGGCTGTTTTTTCCTCTCTGCCACTCCATTTCTGCTGTGGAGTATTAACACAAGATGACTCATGGATAATCCCCTTTTTTTGGAAATAGGTGGATAGACTCTGGTTGAAGTAGTCTCTTGCATTATCAGACCTAAATCTCTTGATTCTCACTCCAAATTGATTTTGGATCATGTTTGGAAGCTTAAAAACACACTATTCACATCTGATTTGGATTTAAGTAAAAAATCCAAGAGACCCTAGTACAATTCATCTATGATGAAACAACCATCTCGCACAGAAATATTAGGAATTGTAGAGGGACCCTAAATGTCACTATGAATCAAGTAAAAGGGGAGTAGAACTTCTTTGTTACTGATTGGAAAAGACACACGTCTATGTTTTGCAAATCACAAAATATCACAATGAAAATCCTTCAACATTTAATCCTTTGAACAAAAAAGGAAACATGTTTCTCAAGGTTACAAAAGAAGGATGTCCAAGACGAAAATGATAAAGCCAGATTTTTTCTTTATGGAAGATTTTTTCAGAAAGAAATGACAAAGGTAAACTATTTTGATACTACTTGTGTTATTTGATGTCTCAAGATAGTATAGTCCATCCTTCTCCTTAGCAAGTCCAATCATCTTCCCCGAACTCTGGTCCTGAAATTCACAATAAGAGGGATAAAAAGTTACTTTGCAATTCATATCTCTGGTAAGTTTTGTATAGATATCAGATTAGTAGACAATCCAGGAACATGAAGAACATTTTTTAGAACAAACGAGGGATTAACTTGAACATCTCCTAATCCTGCCACTGTGGTAAGTGAACCATCAGCAACAACAATTTTCTTATTACTAGGACACAGGTTATATGTACTAAACTTTTGTGAGGAATGTGTCATGTGGTCTGTGGCTCCTGAGTCAATGATCCAAGAACTCGTAATAGGCTTAACCAAGACATTTAATCCATGAGAATCGGAAGCTTTACCTGAACTAGAAACTTTACCCAAAGAACATACCGTAGTAGGCTTTTCAAGGATTTTCAATAAGTTTCTCAGCTTTTCAATCTCTTCTCTGTTGAACTCTCCTTGTTTCTGAGATATCTGTAGTACTCCAGTGATTTTCCCAGTTAACATTTTCTCAAATTGGGTGGTAGTGATATCTTTCTTTGAAAGGGTTTGGCAATGAAGGCGTAAACAGGATTCGGCAATGAAGGCCTAAAAAAGTCAGCAATGAAGGCTGAAAATTTTGCTTCCCAAGAAGAGCCTAAAGCTCTGATACCATGTGAAAACTGAATGTATATTGAAAAACTGCTTATTATGCATTATACAAGAATCGTAGGTTTATATACAACTAACTAGGGGTTAAACTAGGAAACTAAATCTTCCTTAATTCTAGGGATACAAATACTTAATTCTAGAGATACAAATATAAATATACAGATTACAAGATTACAACCAGCTGTAAATAAGTGTTTTCCCACAGTAAGCTTACTGATGTAAAGTAGGTTAACAACTTAAATTAAGGACGTGGAGGATAGAGTCAAATGTTATGTCTTTCGAAACTACAATAGAACCTATTCTTGCCACCTTTGAGAGAGAGCCATCGGCAATTTTTACAGTAGAACTATGATAGCAAGGTCTATATGTGTTGAGTAACGATGCATTTCCAGTTGTGTGATCTAATGCTCTCGAATCAACAATTCAAGATTGTGTATTTCTCCGTTGAACAATTAAGGCGTTTTGGAAATTACCTTCTATGCTAGTAAACTAGTTCAAAGGTTTCAGACTTGTTTTGAAGGGTTTTGTTGGAGCATCACCTCTTTGTGACTTTCCTCATGCCCTACCTCTATGGAAGAAGAGTTCTTACTCCTACTAGCCATAATGGAAACTTGTGTGGTTACAGTCTAATGGTTTAGGCCAATTTGCTCGATACCATTTAAAAAACTTAAAGAACAATGTCCTTATTTCTTCTTATTCAATCTACAATGAATGAGTACATCTAAATAAATAGGAACAGTGAAGTTCTTATTAGGAACAACTTAATGAAACAAAAATAATAAATAATTAAAAGGAAGGAAAATTAGTCTATTCTAAAATAGAAACAAATCCTCCCTAAAAACTTGACAATTAGAATAGTTGACTAAATCAAAAGAGTAAATGAGAAATATTCCAAAAATAAATTAGGAAATCAAGTTGATCTAATGTAGGAGAATTGGATCTGAACTAGCATAGGAGAATCAGATTTTTACTGTTTTAGTGCAGTGATTGATGACTGAAATTTTCATCTTGGTTTTGTCTTGTTTATCACACATCCTATTAATAAAAATTGCATTTTTTTGCGTGTAGAATGCATGAAAATTTGATTGTTATAGCAATTGAATCATGCAGTATCCTTTATTTTGGTGATTTATACTTTAGGACAAGTGTTACGAACAAAATATGAGAGCATAAAAAATGAGGGATGTACTGACGGTTGCTTCTGACCTGGGCTGCATAGTTTAGTGTATTGATTCTGAATCTTTTATATCTTGTAACTTTTGTTTCTGAATTGCCTTTGACACTCGTTGCATTATGTCGTGTTGACATAATTATTTCTTTCTTATGTAGTTGTGGCAACGGATGATGAAAAGATTGCAGAATGCTGTCGGGGATTTGGTGCTGATGTGATAATGACATCAGAGTCTTGTCGAAATGGTGGGAGCCATGTTTATCATCATGTTTATTTTGCTAATTTTCATTCTATATTTTGCTGACATGGTGGATCCGTTCTTTGGTAACTTTTAGGCACTGAAAGATGTTATGAAGCACTTGAAAAGCTAGAGAAGAAGTATGACATTGTTGTGAATATTCAGGGGGATGAACCTCTTATTGAGCCTGAGATAATAGATGGAATTGTTAAAGCTCTGCAGGTTTGTTATTCTGAGTTTCATAAAGTAGGTTGGTCAGTATTGGTTCTATTGCGTTAAAGTTAAGGTTGATATCTGCAGTTTTTTTTTTTTTTTTTCTGTGATATATCTTGTTCCTTGCATAAGTGCTTGTTGTTTTATGTGGTATCAAAATGGCCTATTTGTGTTGCAGGCAGCACCAGATGCAGTGTTTAGCACTGCTGTCACCTCTTTGAAACCTGAAGATGCTTTTGATCCAAATAGAGTGAAATGTGTGGTAGATAATCGTGGCTATGCTATTTATTTCTCTAGAGGACTGATTCCATTTAACAAGTAAGATTATGCATCTCTATGCGTTTGTGCGTCAGTATTTTAAGTGTTACATCTTTTGTTTTAATTGCATTTGCATTTTGCACTAATGTATTTGTCGACTGAATTGATATAGATCAGCGAAAGTCAATCCACAGTTTCCATACTTGCTTCATCTTGGAATTCAGGTCTCAGGATTAAATTTCGCTATTGTTTAAAATTAAAAATAAATCTATTTTTCCTTTGTTTCTTCATTTGATTGATGCTACTGAATTTTATGTCTGAACAGAGCTATGATTCAGAGTTTCTAAAAATATATCCAAAGCTTCAGCCTACTCCACTGCAACTTGAAGAAGATCTAGAACAGCTTAAAGTCCTTGAGAATGGCTATAAGATGAAGGTATGGTAAAAATCATATACCATTGTCTAATCCTTCTGCCGGTAAGACAATTATACTAAACCCTGTCTACCACTTTGCATGAATGTAATCATTGTGTTCTTTATCACATTTAGACCATTGTTTTCACTTTATGACACTTGAGAGATGATAACGTGTCATGTGCTGTTAAAACTTTGAAATTCACTTGTCTTAATCCTGTAGTTTCATATTACTTACCAAATATAACCTGGTGTCGTATGCAAGCATTCACATGGCAAAAGGCCATAGGCTAAATCTCTCATTATGTCACTGATATTCATGATGGAGCTGCCCTCACATAGCAGAAGATTGCTCCATCAAATATGAATGTGGGGTGAGTTGATCTTCTAAAGACATCAGAAGTCAGAACACCCTTCCTGAAATTTGCAGCAAAATCAGCTAATATTTTACCTCATGCAAAAGTACATTATCTTTGATTATCCAGATTGAAGAAAATTGATTCATGTAGCCGGTGGAAGCAATTGGCATTTAAGCTGTAATTGAAGTGATTTGAACTAATATTGGATAGTATATAGTGCGTCTTTCTGGGTATTAAATACCAAAATTTTGTATTAAAAGATAAATAGATAAGCTGGAAATAAATTTGGATGATCATGTTAATTCACACCTGTTTTTCCGCAGGTCATAAAGGTTGATCACGAGGCTCATGGAGTTGACACACTTGAAGATGTGGAGAAGATCGAATCTCTAATGCGCGAGAGAAACTTGTCTTAGTTCAAAGAGAACTCAAATCAGACATTTATAATTGAATCTCTTATGGAATAGGTTATATCATTATATGTTTTTTTACTTACATTATTTAGGAAAGAATTACTTACATTATTTAGGAAAGAAAGGAAGAATGACCACCATAAAATTCCTTGTAGCACTCTTTGTTGGTGAAGATATGATAGACCTGTCACCCAATCTTACACGTCTTCTAGCACCATTTTTTTCTTTTATTAAAGCACCTATCCAAATACTAAGTCAAAGCAGCAACATGCAGTCAAAGCTGAATAACTAAAACTTGTATAAAAGAAAAAGTTGTATCCTGGGGTGGTCAACTTTCTACTGAGGTAAAGTACCAGTTTTTAGAATTTATACAACAGATAAAGTGAGAAACCCAATTAGATTCATAGGCAATTATTGCCAGTCAAAGCAACAGCAAAGAAATCAAAGAAGCAGGGTTAATGAAAATCAGAAAATGTGCTCAAAGTAATGGAAATCCAAACATCAAGAAGTACAAAACCAAGTAGAAGTATGAGCAACCATGATCTACAAAACCTACCATAGTAATCAGGCACCTTTCTCATCCTTTTCCTCTTGAAGCAGCTTGCATATCTCCTCCCTAGCCTTCAAAATGGCGCCAATTCCACCTAGGCCCTTACAAAACATCAAACCTTCGAGATAATCTTTAGTAGCTACCACAAATTGAATATCCCGAGTTCTACACTGTTGAAGAACTCGCTCAAGCACCAACTCCTTTCTAATAACAACAAATTTCCCGCGAATATCAAGCTCCTTTCCCTGCTTCTTGTACTCCATTTTTCTGGCCCCTGTGGTTATATCTTGTAACTCAAATGCTACTAGATCTAACTCATTCCATAAGAATACAACACGTAAGCAATTCAACTCCAATAGTTTCATAATTGATTCGATGTCTACCACACACCTATCATCCTTATGTGCTATGAGTTCAAGATATTCTTTTGGAATTCTCTTTTGAATAACTATACCAACATTCCCTAAGATATCAACTGACTGATTGAGAGCTTCGCTAAAGGAATATGGCCTCCATAAACTATACTGCATTCTTTCAAAAGGTTCTTAAAAATTTTAGATCCAAAAATTTTCAATAGCTTTCTCCTGTCAGGCAACATTTTCAAACACTCCATTAAGGCAAAGTCAATATCGAAAGATGAACCAAAAATCAGCGAAGTACATCCCATAAGAGCCTCGATAAGCCAAAAATTTTCCAAGAAAGTATGAGCTAAATACTCAAACTGCCTATGACTTCCTTGCATTAATATTCTTTCACTAAGATGAATATCAGGAAGAACGTTCGCAACATTACCAGAAACTGTAAATCAGACCCATTAGCTTCCATCCTACCAGAAAAAACCCAAATTTATCTTCAAAATCTAAAAGGTCTTGAAGAAACTTAGTCTTGAACTCTTTTTGAACAATGTAATCCAATTTCAAACCCCTTTTAAAAGGGACATGAAATTGGCTTCTCTAAAGTTTTTCTTAATGAAGGCTTGGTTGCTGGGATTCCTGTGATGAAAGAAAAGAAGAAAGGTAAGCGTGTTAGTTTTGTAAATATTGTTGAAGTGTTTGGAGATTAAGTCAAAGAAATATTTGTTGGGATTTGCCTTGAAACTTATAATCTCACATCAAAAGTTGAGTAAAGTTATAAGAGTTGAGAGCTTGTCTTTTTATCCCACATTGGGAGTTTAGTAAAGTTGTAAGGGGTTTCACTTTTATAAATAAGATGTTTTGGTTTTAGTTTAGTAGTCCCATATAATTAGACACAAAGAGAATAATTAGGTGAATAAGCTATTAAAATTGTGTAATTGAGTTTTCGGTTAATTTTTGAGTAAGAAGTTTTTAGAGACTTTTTTCATTTTAAAAGTCTCATAATTTATTAGTGGATTATGTTTGGAGTAGGTCATTTTGAATTAGGTCCAAACAAATATATTTTTATATTTTTATTCTTGATTTGAGCTTGCTATTTTATGTGTGGGTGTTGTGTGGGTCGAAACAAATATATTTTTATATTTTTATTTTTGATTTGAGCTTGTTATTTTGCGTGTGGGTGTTGTGTGTGCGTGTTGATTTCTCAATTATTTCTTAACAAAATCTCATTTGGATTAAGTGACCCCTCAATTTTTGATTTCCCAATGATTTCCTAACAGAAGCTTATTTGGATTAAGTAGCCCCTCAATTTTTTCAACAAATTCTAAGTATGAGAAAAAGAATTTCTGACTTCTTTTCTTGTTATCAATATCCAACCGTTCTCCAAACTATTGATCCATATTTTTTTCTTCATCAAGGGATTGATTCAATGAAATCAAAAGTTAAGGTAGAAGAACTGTAGTGCTTCAATTTTTTTATAAGAAGTTGGAGCTCAAGAAAATGCATCGTATATGAAGAAAGAAAGACAAGATATATATATAGAAAGTAAAAAGAAAAAAAATATAAATATAAAGAAAGAAAGAAAAGACAAGATTATAAAACTACTAAAATAAAACGAAAGAGAAAAAGAAAATAAAAATTACTTGAAATCTTTAGTTGCCAAGAAGATGTCACAGAATAACTATAACTATACTGAAGAAGGAAAGAAAAAAGAACAGAAGAGACAGAAATAGACCAGAGAAATGTGAATAAAGAGAATAGCGCAGAAGAAGAGAGAATGGTGAAAATAGAAGCAGAAAGTTTTAATTTCATTCATGATGCTCGTTTACAATATATATGCCTTCCTTTCAATATATTAAAGCCAACATGTGATATATATATATATATATCTATTTATATATAAGCCAATAGATGCTAAAATCTATGCAATATATTAAAGCTACCCTTTTTTGTTTTAATTTAAAACTAGTCATTAAAAAATATTGTAAGTAATTTTGGAAAAAAATTGTGATAAGTGAGAATGGTTTTTGTTTAGTTAGAGAGAGGGACTATTTGCACCACAAAAAAACTCGCAATACATCCCAAAAAATTAACCAATAAAAAAATTACTTAAATATCCATTAGTTAATTATTTTTTTAACATTTACACCCCTTCTCAGTAAATTATGGAAAATGAATTTTTGAAAACTTCTCTAATGTATTGGAAATTTATTTCGAAAACTTCTTAATTATATCGAAAATTCATTTATGGAAAGTATTGCAGTTATCTAGAAATACATTTTTAGAAAGCATTGCAATTATCCATAAATGTATTTTTGGAAGTAATTTTTTATTTCAGTTTCTTTATTACGATTTCTTAACCAATGTTTATCATGAAAATATTGAATGTCCCTTGCTACGATCTCCAAACAAGTCTATAATGATTTTTTTGATGTATGCGATGTTTAAATTCAATAGTAAAAATCTCTAATATTTTGGCTAAGCATTGTCTGGTTAATAACGTTTGAAATATTTTATCAATTCAAACAAACATGCATTTAAAAGGAATTGCTAATTGAAAAGAGCATTCGTGAAAATGGCTATTGCACTATGTGCAGTGAGGCAGTCACACTCCATCGCACATGGTGCAATAGCCAATTTGCATGAGTGCCTCTTCATACTTAGCAATTCCTTTCAGATGCACATCCATTTAAATTATAAAATATTACAAATGTTATTGAACGGACAGTGCCTGATGGCCAAAAGATTAGAGGTATCTATTAGTGGATTTGCAGTTTGCTGATGACATATTAGGTCAATTCTTATGTATTGGAAAGTTGTTTGGTCTTTATTGGTGACCGAAAGTTATTGTATATCGAAAATCCATTTCTAAAAGTTTTTTAAGGATTCTAAAAATGAATGTCTAGAAACCATTGAGAAATTTTGAAAATATATTTTCCAAAATTCTTAAAGGTTTCTGAAAGTGAATATCCAAAAACTTTTGAGGGATTTGGGAATGAATTTTTGTTATGTTGAAGAAGTTTTCAGACATTGATTTTTCATAAACCTTCAACAATTTCAAGACATTCATTTAACGAATGCTAGAATCACCACCCTAAATCGCATATCTAAATATAAAATCCTAAATCTTTTAGAACTAAATACAAAATCAAATGAAAAACTAGAAACAAGAAAAACAAACGATTACTTATGACTCTAAGCTATCGAACATCAAAAGGTGATTAGGGCTTGATTTGGGGCTTAATCTCTTAAGGGTTTAGGCTTTTCAATGAAGAAGAAGAGAGGGAGTGTGGGGTGTTTGGATTTTTTAGTAAATTAATATTTTGGTTTGGGGAAGGAATTAGTGTTAATAATAGTGGGGTGTGAAAAGAAGTAGTGAAAGTGTAAATAGTCCCTCTCAGTTTCGTATTAAGCCTTTATTTAAATAATTATAGACAATGAACAAGGAGAAGGGAACAACACAAAAGTAAAAAGAAACTTAGGAACAGTTATAGACAATGACCCGAGCTTTTGGCCCAAATTTTTGGTATTCTTCTTTTCCTTTTTCTTATTTTGTTTTCTTATTTAATTTTTATTATATATTTATTTACTTATTTATTTATTAGAAAAATACTTTAATTATTTGATAATAAAAAAATAAAAGAACAAAAAATGATTTTATAAATTTGTAAATTTGATTTTTTTTATTTAAATAAAAAATTTCACTCTCACAACAACATATAGACAAAAAATTTTAAAAAAAATTAATTAAATTAATTTTCATAAGCAATTGAAATAAAGATCTTTGTGTTACTTTCATAATTAACTAGCATCTTTATTACACTTCTGCAGCGAAACACTAGTAATTATCTAGTACTTACCATTAAACTTAAACCTATTTGTATTAAAGTTGTTAATTTTTGACACATTATTGATTTTCTTTTAATTGAGCTATCAATTTAATGCCATTCGTTATTATCCCAATGCCATCTTATAAAAGTTAAACCTATTAGATCTATTGTTTTTGTACTACTATTTATTAGAGAAATTATCAAAACAGTGATATTTTTTAATTTCACAAATGAGGTTAAGATATAACATATGTCCCCTAGTGTATATTTAAAAAATAAAAAAATTAATTTAAAAAATAAAACATTTGTCATCATCTTAATCTCGTTTATATAATTAAAAAACTCTCCTTTTAGTATATTAAATAATTTTTCTATCTTTTATTGTTCATTCAATTTTCAATTCCAAAAAGATTTAAGGTTTGGCTTTTTTTAGCGTATCTACAAAAATTAAATTTAAATTAATATATTATTTTTCAATTGAGATATTAATTGGTTGCCATTTGACTGCCAATCAAGCCCTCTTTGGAGTTTTGTTTTTCTTTTTTCTTAAGGAAGTCACAAAACAATCAAACATAAAATATTACAAATTTTCAAGAAATAAAAAAAAAAAACTATACATTTAATCAAATATGCAAAGAATTACATTGACTTAATCAATGCAATAAATGTCAATCAACTATTAATTTTATAAAAAAAAAATAATTATATTAATTATTTACAGTGTAAATGTTAAAATTAATTTTAATTTTACGTAATATGTTATTTCAATATAATATATATTTTATTAGAAATATTTTATTTCATACTATTATTTATAATTTCAAAAACAAATAAATGAAAGTATGAAAATAATATACTAAATTAAATTAAATAAGATTAGATAATGCATTTAAAATATCTACTTATTTTATGGGTAATATATTTTTTACAAGAAATAATATAATGCATGAAAATTATATTCATACTTAATTTTATTTTTTAAGTATAATATTTAAAGGACGGAGATAAAAAAAAAACCTCTTTGATATGAATATACATATTTGTCATTAAATACAATATTTAAGTACTATTTTTTTGAGATGTTAATTAATTATATCAATTAAAGTATGTAAAATATATATAACATATTTTTTAACTTAAACAAAATCGTATAACTAAGTAGAAATTTTTATCCCAAGCGAAGCCGGGAAAAATTTCTGATATTAAAAAGTAGTATCCTCATTTTTGAACTTGATTTGTCATTTGTTATTCATTAACTAGGGGTGTAAAATGATATATTAGTACTCGCAAGCTACTCGGGTTTCGATTAAAAACACTCGAATTCGTTCGACTTATTGTCGAGTCGAGCTCGAGCTCGAGTAGCTCGACTATCGATCGACCGAATTCGAGTATTCTTATAATCTGACTCGATGAGCTCTCGCGAGCCTAATCGATGCTTTTTATATTTAAATATTTTTTTTTTAATTAATAAAATATTTCGAATCCGAGTTCGAGTTCGAGTTCGAGCATGAATAATCGAACTTTTGTCGAGTATACAAATCGAGCTTATTTTTACATATTAATTAAGCTTAATCGAGCGAGCTCGAGTAGCTCGAATTCGATCACGAATCGAGCTCGAGCTTGAAAAATAAAACTCGATCAAGCTCGAGCCGAGTATCGAGCCCCGAGTTGTGAGTCGAGCTCGAGCTCGAGCTTCTCACTACTCGGCTCGGCTCGGCTCGTTTATAGCCCTATCATTAACCATCATATATAAGATCAAAATATCTCAATGCAAAAAAATTGGAGTATCTTTCTTTTCTTTGTACTCTGTTCCAAAATCAATTCTTATTTAAGTTTTCAAATTGGAGTAGAAATCATACAACCAATCAGATTATTAAGAAGTAAAACAAAATTTTAGTCCGAGATTGACTAATATAGAGGAAATAAATGGTTTTCCAAATCCTAGTCCAAATTGAATTGCTCTAGGGTTACACACACACACACACACACACACACATATATATATATATATATATATATATATATATATATGCACACCTTACAATTCATAATTCGTCCAACAAAAACAGGCAAGAACCAGCAATCAAGAAACGGTGCAGCAGGAAAGAGTCATGGAGAAGCACGTTCCATCGGATTTAATTAACGACATACTCAGCCGATTACTGGTAAAGAGCCTGCTTCGCTTCAAGTGTGTATCCAGAGGATGGTGTTTTCTAATAAACGATCAAAATTTCATCAAACGCCATCTCAAACGATCCACCCAAAGCAACAGTCACAGCAGCCTTGTAATTGTCAAATATACTAAACTTAGTTTGGTGGATTTGAGTTCGTTACTTGTCGTGGAGGAAGTCGTTGATAATTCTTTGAAGCAATTATTCAGAGACTCCATTAAAGTGCTGGGCATATGCGACGGCTTGCATTGCTTGTCCAATTCAGCTTATAATCGTATTATTTTGTGGAACATGTCTACCAGGGAGCACCTGACTTTGCCCCCTGTGCCAGAGAATTTCCTCCTTCATCGTACTCCTAAAACAGTCAAATTGTCCGGATTGGGATATGACCCCATCAACGATTATTATAAGGTAATTTGTGTTTCTCAAACTTTTCAATCGAAACATAAGGGAATTTTCTATAGTCTAAGATCGAAATCATAGGGAAAGATTCACGGTTACAGTAACTGATTCGTTTTCCTTCCGTTAGTGGAGTCTATGCAAGTGGTGCTTTACACTGGTTCGTATCCAGATCGTCGAAAGAAATTATGGAAGACAGCGATGTATTCATTGTAGCAATCAACCTTAATACTCATAAACAACGGTTTATTCGTTGTCCTGATCAAGATCAACATCAACATCAAGAGTATAAAGCTTGGAACATCCCACCTCATCCATTCGTTTTCAATACTCTAGGGGTTTTCGGGGAACAGCTTTGTGCAATGGACATAAATGGCAGCCGTTATTCCACGGTGGACATATGGTTAATGAAGAAGTATGGCGTGCAGGAATCCTGGACAAGGCTATTCTCGATTCCATACTTTCATACTGGGTATATATGTAGATACGGTGATCCGTTTGTTCATCCCTTAACTTATTCAAAGAATGGTGATGAAGTTCTAGTAGATGTAGCACATGATCATACGCGGCTAATGTTTTATTACAATCCGAAGACCGAAAGTGTTAGGTATGTTAACGTCCCCGCGTGTCAAAATAGCTCTTTTGAAGTACAAATTTGTCACGAAAACCTTGTATCATTAACATCTAGAGACAGGCCGCAAGAGGAAGCTATGAATACAGACCGCAAGTTAGTCTCCCATGCTGCTGATTACTTTCCTTGCGGATTAGGGGTGAATTACCTTAATTTTTTCTCAAGTTTTTTTGTCTCATGATTGCACTATAAAAAAAATCTAAATATTCTAATGCTTAAACTTTGTATTTGCTTAGGCAATCTAGATTTTTCTTTTTCTTTTGAGGATTTTAAAGAGAACATTCCATATTAAGATATTTTCATAATATACGTACACACTAGTTTTCAATATGTGCATGATACATGTGCAATTTTTATTTTAAAAAATTCATTTCAATAAATAATTTTTTGATACTATCATAATAATGATAAATTTTTTAATAATTTAATTTTGATTTTAATAAAATTTTGGTAGTCTTCAATATAATTTTCATAACTTATGATATAATTTTGGCAACTATTGATACAATTTTGATAATTTTTTATAAAATTTTAATAAGCTCTTAATGTACTTTTTTAATTTTTAAATGACTTATTATATACTTTTGGTAGTTATTAATAAAATTTGTATTATTATATATTTAATAATGGATTCCTATAAGAAGGGGCGAGTTCAGTTTTAATATAAGATAATTTTTTTATACAATAACACTATTGTTTCATTTAAATTTAGAATTGTTTTACTAATTTTTTTATTGAATAGATTTATATTAGGTTTATTCTAGTTTTCCAAGATAAAGTTTCTTACTCTATTTCTGTTAGTAATGAAAATTCAATTTGTGATAACTTCAAGTATAAAATAATTATCAATGATTCACAATTAAGCTATCATTAATTTACTATTATATTATTAACAATTTATTACTAATTTACAAAATAATATACTTCTAAATTATTAATGATTTATTATTAAATTAGCTTTAATTTATTACTAATTTATGAATATTTTACTATTAAGTTATAACTAATTTACTATTAAATTATGGATGATTTTATAATAAATTGCTAAAGATTTATTATAAATTTATAATTAATTTATTGTTAATTTATCAATAAATAAATTAAAGAGAAAAATGAGTGACTGACCCCTCCGAGACGGATTCCATAAATTTGCTGCTGCTGATACTGTTTGTAGCATTTATCTAGGGATAAAAGCAAACAAAAGATGATTAGTTTTTGGCACGTACTTGACCTATATGTACTTGACCTAATTGCTAATTGTTAATAAAGATAAACAAGTAAAAATCTATGTCTATTTTATATTTATGAGTGTGGTTAAGTGCTAAAAAGAATCCATTTAAAAATTATTCAATTATTATTTTAGAAAAACTTTTACATTTAATGTGTTATTTTTACTAAATTAAAAAAAGTAATGTTTTCTTTCCTTAAATATACCTTAATCATTGTCTAATGACACTGATTAACAATTTTCTACATTTATATAATTTTCTTTCCTCACACCAAAATTAATTAGTTTTATCCAATATTTTCTTTTAAGCTTCTACACCAAAATTACTACCACCTACCACTGCAGTTTTTCATTAAGGATTGCTCTTATTTTACAATAACATTTCGTTTTACTGGATTGCAATGTTTCTTTCACCTAATCAAAGAACCTTCTACAATAATGTAAGACTTATAATATATGTTTAAAGGTTGAAAAGATAAAAAAAAAATACAAATGTAATTGTCTCATATAAAGTAATTAAGATGATGCTGTGGCACCATTATTACTAGATAATAACTCAAATAATGTTTAACTTATGTTTTCTAAATTAGTATGAGCTATTGATACCTCTTTCAAATAAAATATTTGAATTATTTCCCTCAACTTATATAACAGCAACTTGATCAGTAAATAAAGAATTATAAATTTGTTGATCTAAATTAATATTTTTGCAATACGAATTTTAAAATCTTCAAAAGAATATTTATCTCTTAATCTATGCAAGACTTGGATATAAGGATTTGCTTCTAGAATTATTATTAGTATCTCCATCATTTTTGCGCTTAAATTTTTATTGTGTTTTATTCTAATTCTATTTTGAAATTTATTATCAGTGTTATAAAAATATAACTAAAATAACATTGATTAATCAATTCGAACTTGAAATAATTCAAAACTCAAATTGAGTATAAATAAAACTTTTACTCATTTTAAATTTTATTTTAATTAAAAATAATATAATACACATAATTATAAATATGAACTAACTTGATTTGATTTCAATTGATTTTAAAAGTCAACAACTTAGTAGTTATTTTGAAATCCAAAATGATTGAACATAACCAAAATCTGAATTGAAATAGTAACTCAATCAAAATATAATATTTCTTATTTATCTTTTGTGACAATTTAAAAGTTATTAGTTTAAGCTTTTTTTCTTCATCTTCAATGTCTTATTTTTATTTTTTTGGTTGAATTAATTAATTAATTTTAAAAGTATTTCCAAAATGAAATTGCCATATAAGTAATTGAGTATTTTTTTTTTATTTGTATTTTGGACGATTCAAATCCATTTTTTAAATAAAGAAAAAATAAATCAGTTATTGAGTCAATTTTTTTCAGTTGCATAAGTAAAAAAATTAGTACACTATGAATAAAAATAAATGATAAAACTTGACTCAATCTAATTGGTCATTAATCCTAAGTCTAAAATCCAACTTGAAATTATGAAAAGTCAAAATTCAAAATGATTGAAATACTAAATATATAATTAAATAAGATTTATCTAATGAATTTTGCTAATAAATGCTTTTAAATTGAGTTTAAGCTTAGTTAAAATATAAATTGTAATAATTTTTATATTAAATGTAATAGTAATAATTAATTCAATGAATTTCAATTCTTTTGAACAAATAGTACCTAGTATGACAACCTTAAAATTTTTGAATGCAACAATAAATATTCTTCAATTGACATGAAGGAGAAAATGAAAAGTATACAATATTTTTCAAATAAAAGAGTTTCATATTAATCGTAAAAAAATTTGAAACAAATACATTTGTATATTTTTCATTAAACATCATATATCTCTAACATTCTTTATCATACGGAAAAAATAGAGTTATGCATAACCAATCAATTTTTTGTCTCATTTTTTTGCTGAGGATAATCTTCTATTAATGCTTCCATCAATTGAATGTAAATGTACATTCTATCAATTAAAAGCTTCAATTTTCTTTTATATAAAAAATTTTATTATACGTTAATTTTTATTATATAAAAATATTCAAATGCATAATTTTAAAAAATAAAATAAAATAAATTTCTAACATTGGTACTTGTCATGTTTTATTTTGAAAATTTCATTTCTGAGAATAAAAAACTTGTTATGTAATACCTATATAATTTATAATGATTTCATTTTCAATATTAACAACATAAATTTTCATGAATTAATATAACTTTGGCATAAACTTATTTAAAAGATAGTTCAAATGAATTTTGTCACACTTTAAAAGAATTCACAAAAAAATAATTAATTTTACTTCACTTGATAATTTTTTATTTAAAATAATTCATGTTAGGTCGTTCAATCACCTAGATGACCAAAAAAAGTGTAATTTAATATAATTGAAAAAATTAAATAATCTTGAGATATAAATTAATCATATATATAAGCATATTAAGATAAAAGTTGAGAAAAAAAATAAATTAATTATTATTTCTATCAAGGTGAACAATTCTTATAATAATTTGAAAACACCCAATCTTGAGCTATTGGTAGCCCCACCATCTTCTAAATTATTTAATTCTACAAGTGAAAAGTCTAATTAAAATTCAATGAATTATATAGTGCTAATTGTTGGTAAAGGAGATGCAATTGATTAGCATTTGATTTGATATTAATTTTTTTATGAGAATAATAATTATAAAATTCTAAAGAAAAAAATACAAAAGAAAAATTAATTATAAAAGTCATACTAAAGAATAAGAATGATATATTAAAGAATTATTCAAAGAACTAAAAAGATTTAATTATGTTATTAATGATCAAATAAACATATAAATAATAAAATTATTATCATACATATGTAGTTAATATCTTAAAACAAAACATTGAAAGGCAAAAAATAGAAAAAACAAATTTGCTTAAATGACTTAATTATAATTATTTTTAATAAATTTATTTATCAATATAAATTGTATATACAATTGTTTTTACAACAACTAAAGAAATAAACTTTATATAATTGTTTTATTCTTACACACGTTAAGCTTTAATATCGTTTTATTTATATTTTTATTTGACGTGAAAAATCATTCTACTTATAAAAAGTATGAAATTGGATATTTTCACCCTTAAATCTATTGATTAAGGGCGAAATTGGGTAAAAGTATAAAAGAGAAAAAGAGCAAGAAATGTGAGAAGAGATATTAGTACCTTCTGGAACTTATTGAAAGAGTGATGGTACCTTTTAGGTCTGAATTTTCCTCTCCAATCTTGCCTTGAGAGAACAAGGCTAACATAGAGCCTACCCTTCAAGTTGTCCAAGAAATTGAAATAGGCATGTCTCCAGGAACTCCAAGAACAAATCCAAATCCCATGCCAGCATAAAACCATTTTCCTAATACATCAGAGTCATCTTGAGTTCCTCCTGGTTGAACTCGAGGCACTCAACTCCTGATCAATTTGTTGAAATTGGAGTGTAGCAAACTTCAAGATTATGGCAAATGCTGATGAACCAAAGGTTTGCAGTTGACTGTCTGTCTTAGTTTTCCCTGACAAATTATTATAGGTCGAGTCCAAGCTACTCCGAAAATGTTAACTCAGATAAGCTCGATGGGATGTTTTCTGAAAGTTTGTTTCTAGACAAATCAAGCAGCTGTAATCGCCTCAACTATCCATCTTTCGAGGAATTGTGCCAGTTAAAAGATTTTTTTTTATAAGTTCATTGCAATCAATTACCAAAGATTAGTTATTTCTTCAGGAATTTTTACTATTAATTCATTACTTGAAAGATCAACGGCTACTCATAGTCTTGAGGATTCTTTTTAATATCCTTGCCTTTTCCCTTTCCATATGAGCATTGCCTCATCGACATAGCTGAGAATAACAGTAAGTTGATTATCAATTGTTTGTCCTTTAAGAAAATGCTCAATGGCTGATCCTAATCTCTCTTTTTTCACCGTAGAAGTGAAATTTTTGAGACATTGTGGCATGATATTGGAGATTTTGTTTACAGAGAGGTTTAAGATTTGAATATATTTCAACCCGCAAAGCTGATGGGAATGTTCTCATTAAATTGATTGGCTTGGTGGCTAAGAAAAATCAAAGACGGTAAACTTTTTAATGTGAAATTGTTTGATATCTCAAATAATCTATTATTCTGACCAAAAATGAAATGCCTGTAAAAAAATGTTTAAGTTTAAATGTAGAATATCCAATGCCTAAGCAATATCTGAAGCATGGGATGCTTCTTTTATTTAAGTGTTGTTTGAGATTTACATGAGAATAGTAGATGACCTAGTGAATATGATCTGATAAATAAATTAGGCCTCTGTGAAGTAAAAAAAAAAAAGCCCATTAAGGAAAATAAATCCAGAAACACAGCAGTAATATGCGAGGTAAATACTTATATTTCATATACAAGTACTCCACAATCAAATAAGGTCGAAAGAAAACCGTCACTATATATTTTTTTGTATTTCTAAATTATAATACAGAGAAAACCATCAGTCTAGGCTTGATTATTTGCAAACAGAGGTTGACAACATTTGTACAGAGATCAAACTGAAAGAAATAATGAAACTTCTACTGGCATATCCCACAAATAGCGAAATAAGCACAACCCTCAATCACCGTTACACACTTTTCTTCAAAGGTTATTGATTTACTTGAGTTCCTCACAAACATGAAAAATTAACTTCACCTGCTGTTCCAAAACATACCTGACAACAGGAAAACAATATACAACTCTATTATATTATGGAAGCATAATTTTCCACCTGTATAAAGTCAAGCAAATTAAGATTGAAAAAAAAAAAAGAAAAAGTAAAATTCATAAGCACTTTCCTTTCTTGATCACTCAATGAAAGAGTGGTGGTACCTTTTAGGTTTGAATTCTCCTCTCCAACTTGATTTCAGCAGAACAGATGAAACATAGAACCAAGCCATGACATTATCCATGAAAAGAAAATAGGAATGCCTCCAAGGACGTTTGAATAACACAGCACTGCAAAATCGCCAAAAACTCACAACAAATCCAAGTCCCATGCCAATATAAAACCGTTTTCTGAATTCCTCAAAATCTTCTTCAATTCTTCTTGGTTGACCTTGAGGTGGTTCCACTAAAGCTGAGCAATTTGGTGTAACTGAGGGACCACAAAGCCCATGATTACGTGAGAATGCTGAAGGTTCAAAGAGTTGTAGCTGAGATTCTGTTGCAATTTTCCCTGACAAATAATTATAGGACAAGTCCAAACTACCCAGAAATGTTATCTCAGACAAACTTGATGGGATGCTGCCTGAAAGTTTGTTTCTTGAGAGATCAAGCTATTGTAATTGTCTTAACTGCCCAATGTATTGAGGGATTTTTCCGGTCAAAAGGTTTCTTGATAAGTTTAATTCAACCAATTCTTGAAGACTAGTTAGCTCCGCAGGTATCTCTCCAGTTAATTTGTTACAAGCGAGATCAATGGCTAACAACAGTCCAAGAATTTTGCATATTTTTGCTTTGCTCCTTTCCATGTAAGCAATGCCTCATCAACACAGTTGAGATGATCAATGGGCAATCAATATAACCATCATTGCTTATCCGATCTACCATAACGAGATGCTCAATCCTTTGACCTAAATTCACTTTTTGGGCCATAGAAGTGAAATTATAGAGACATTGTGGTATGGCATCAGAGATGTTATTTACTGAGAGGTCTAAGATTTGAATATATTTCAATCCACAAAGTTGATGGGTTATCTTTCCGTTAAACTAATTGGTTTGGAGGCTTAGAAAAACCAAGGATGATAAACTCTGACCAATCCACATGGGCATTTTTCCCGATAACATATTATCACTTAGATCCAGAAATTTTAACTGCATACAATTCTGTAAAGATGAAGGTAATTCTCCCAAGAATCTATTACCACGTAAACTGAGCATTTCAAGAGAAGCCAGATATCCCAAAGAGAATGGAATTTGGCCTAATAAATTATTGTCTTCCAAATTCAAAGCTGTTAGATTTGGGAATTTTTCAAAACAGTCAGGAACCTCTCCAGACAATAAATTATTGGAGAGATCAAGCAGTTTCAAGTAACAGTGACTTAAAATATTGCAAATTGAAGAGATTGAATTGGAAAACTTATTTTGGATAGATTTAAAGACTCCAAATAAAAAAAAATAGCAGCTTTGGCAACGGACCTGAAAAATTATTAGAGCTCAATTCTAGATGGTTCATTTTACGTGATTTATTTGGCAAAGTACCGTTGATCTGATTGAAAGAGAGGTTTAAGTGTTGTAAACTTTTCAATGAGTCCCAAAACCAATAGGAGAGAGAATCCGAAATTTCCGCAGCGGAGATATCAAGGGCTCTGAGATGAATTTGACCTGTAACCATTCTGGGAAACGAGGCCCTAACATTGCAAGAGCGAGGCATCATAACATGCAGATTATGAATGGAGGAATCCAGCTAGAGTCCAATTTTAAAGTCAAAGAAGTAGCGGACCAACGCCCGTAACCTGGTGAGATTTGAGAAATGAACTACGGAGATGACAACATTATCAAAAGAATACCCAGCAAGCCGTAAAAGCAACAGCTTTGACAATTGTCCAATGCTTTCGCTTATGGTTCCATTTAAATGGTTGTACCCAAGATCTAGTGCTCTTAAGGATGATAATTTTGCGATTTCACTCAGTACAGAACCATTTATCCCACTTTCATGCTGATTGTCTCTCAGATAAAGATATTTCAGAGAAACCATGTTCCCAAAATTGGATTCTAGAATTGGACCTTTCAACTGGTTCATTGACAGATCAAGGACCTTAAGTTTGCTGCTAACATTAAACAACCATGGGCATATTGCAGAAGAAGTGAGATTGTTTCCAGACAGATGAAGTGTGGTGAGAAATGTAGAAGAGTTGATAAGGGAAATTAGAGATGAAGAAGAGACACTTGGAAGATCACAATCGCTCAGGTACGGATTTGTAAAGGAAGCTGGTTGACTACTTGAGACCAATCACTAGCCTTACGTAGGTCTGTGAAACCAAGAGAAAGATTTTTTTAAAGAAGATAGATGGGAAAGCCAGTCAAGGTCTCGAACACTGAACACTTTATCAAATTTATGGTGGAAAAAGTGCATAGAGTACCTTAGACTGAAAGCATCACCACCCAGAAAAAGAGTCTCCAACATCAAAGGTTTCCAAGCTGAGAAGGAATTGGTCCTCTAAAAGAGCAAAAGAGAGATCCAGGTATGTCGGATTTTTTAAAGAACCAATGAACTCGGGGATGAGACTTCCATTAAAATCATTGTAGCTGAGATCTAAGTAACTCAAATGTTGCAACTTAAGCAATGAAGGACTAATTGTACCTGCTACAAGGCAGTGATAGCCATGAAGTTCAATCCTTTCCACATAGCCTGTGAGCTTGTTGCGCCCCAAACCCATCCATTCACAACAATCCTTGTTGTCCCATGAAGAGAGGCTGCTATTGACCGACTTATCTACAGCTTGAAGGCTTTGCTTAAATTGGAGAAGCGCTTGTCTCTCACTCTTTTTGCACATCATCAACTCATCAGCTGTTGTGTAGTTCTCTGGAAGAAGAAGACAAAGATAAAACATTGCAATAAACAGAACTAGAAGAAGCTGAGACCTGTCACCTGGCACATTAGTCATCATAATCAACAGCAACAGAACACTGCCTTGAATTAGAAAATATGATTTTTTTTTTTAGAATGGTGAGAGCTAAGCCAATGCTTATCTTAAATAAAATTGCCATCCTTGGTTAATTATTATTATTATTTTTTTGAGTAATCCTTGGTTAATTATTTTGTTGTGGATGAATGCCATAGGAAATATTGACTTTTTTCTTTGGTCGTAATTGCATTTTATTAGACTTGATGGCTATTTAGTGTATTTTGTATCTAAAATGATAAAACATTAAATTTATCATCATAATTCTTGTTGATATGTCAAATACAATTTTTTTTTTTGTTTTTAATAAATTAATATACAATTTTTATTAAAATTTTAAGTCATATTATTTTCATATCTTATTAACATATGATTGAAATTACCAAAATTATGTTGTATAATACTATAATAAAAGTAAAACTCTTAAATTTATTTTTATTTAACCAAATAAGTTTTTGAACTTTTGGTTGTAATTGACCATGTCAAAATAGGTGTAATCGTCTTATTCAAGCTTAAAAAAGGTTAAATACTCATTTTGCCCATAAATTATATGCTTTTTATTAATTTGATACTGTAATTTTATCTTTTTCCATTAAATTTAGCATATCTCTAAATTCTAATACAGAGAAAACCATCAGTCTAGGATTTGTTATTTGCAAACAGAGGTTGACAACATTTGGACAGATATCAAACTGAAAGAAATAATAAAACTTCTATTGGCATATCCTACAAATAGCGAAATAAGCACAACCCTCAAACACCATTACACGCTTTTCTTCAAAGATTATTGATTTACTTGAGTTTCTCACAGACATGACAAATTAACTTCACCTGCTGTTCCAAACCATACCTGAGAACAGGAAAACAATATAGAACTCTATTATATTATGGTAGCATAATTTTCCAACTGCATAAAGTCAAGCAAATTAAGATTTAAAGAAAATTAAGTAAATTTCATAAGCATTTTCCCTTCTTGATCACTTAATGGAAGAGTGGTGGTACCTTTTAGGTTTGAATTCTTCTCTCCAACTTTGCTTTCAGCAGAACAAATGAAACATAGAGCCAATCCTTGGCAGTATCCAAGAAACGAAAATAGGAACGCCTCCAAGGACGTTTGAATAACACAACACCACAAAATCGCCAAAAACTCACAACAAATCCAAGTCCCATGCCAATATAAAACGATTTTCTGAATTCATCAAAATCTTATTCAATTCTTCTTGGTTGACTTTGAAGTGATCCCCCTGATGCTAAGCAATTTGGTGTAACTGGGGGACCACAATGTCCATTATTACGTGAGAATGCTGAAGGATCAAAGAGTTGTAGTTGAGATCCTGTTGGAATTTTCCTTGACAAATAATTATAGGACAAGTCCAAACTACCCAGAAATGTTATCTCAGACAAACTTGATGGGATGCTGCCTGAAAGTTTGTTTCTTGAGAGATCAAGCTATTGTAATTGTCTTAACTGCCCAATGTCTTGAGGGATTTCTTTCGGTCAAAAGGTTTCTTGATAAGTTTAATGCGACCAATTCTTGAAGACTAGTTAGCTCTTCAGGAATCTCACCTGTTAATTTGTTACAAGAGAGATAAAAAATTTTTAAAAAAATTTATTTTAATATTGATGTAACAATTAATGATGTAGTGTTAATCAAACGTTTTAACATGTATCAGTATTTTATTAGATATTTATGTTATATCAACAAATTAACCAATGGCATTAGTCTGATATACTAAAGTTGAAATATCTAATTGTAAATTTTATTTCTTTAAATATTAAACTGAAAAATAATATATACTACAGTGATTAAATGAGTTTTTAAACCAAAAAATTTATTTTAAAGCATTTGAGTTTGTTAAATCAATATCTCTGATTGGTTTACAATTTTATACGTCCTCAATTAACAAAAACATCTTTGTGTTGATATATTCAAGATTATTTGTAACTGTAACAAAAAAAAAAAAAGAGATTAGTTATACTTTTTCATATTTTAATTTATTTTGTTGAAAGTTTTGACATAATAATTTATATTTTTTTAATATGAGATTTTATAAAATTATATAACTTAAAATCTAAAAGGAAACTGACTTGTTTAACACGGTATAATCACACTAATTTTCACGACTCCATTCGCAAACTTTATAAATAAACTTGTTTAACAGATTACCAAAAGTGTCATTTTCACCAATGAGACCTAATTGTCTCAAATAAATAAAGAGGTAATTAGCCGAGAAGACCAGCACTAACTAAGCAAAGGGCCTTTTGGCATTTAATTAATTTTTCTCCACCACTATTTTCTTCTTCAATCACTTTGTCTTTATTTATGAAAGTATAATTAATTTACCACATGAATAAAGGCATACTAAATGAGCTTTTTCTTTTGATAAAGAAAAAAAAAAAAGAAAAAAAGAGAAAGTAAATGTGATAAATATTTTTTTGAAAGAAGCGAAGTCAGACAAATTTTTTTTGTCATTTTCAAATTTTAGTTTATTAATACCAGTTTGAGTTGGAATGATGTCAATATAATATTTTATAATTATATAATCAAATATAATACTAAAAATTATAATACTGTAATTAGATAAAGTCTAATATTATAATACACTACAATAACATATGTGATTTTTTAATAATTAAATGAGAATATTAATAAAATATTTTATATAATATTTTTTGAAGGTAATGACTACAAAATAATTTCTTTTCTAACATTCACCTCGAAAATCAACAAGTCCAGCTCAGAGAACTCTTTTTTTTCCTGGTCTTTATCGTTTAAACCAAGGTCCTAATATTTAATTTACCACCACGTCTTGGTTTAGTAATATTTAAACCAAGGACAATAGGTTTTGAAGAATGGATAAGACCGACTACTAATGAATTTTGATATTATAAATTCAAAAGGTGTGAAAATTGATGAGACTGTTAGAATTTTTCATAAAATGGACTACTATTAATCAATATTTTTATATTTAATAAAATAAGTTGATAAATTTAATTTTTACATGAGATAAATATGAGAATTTAAATAATTAATTGTGATTATTTATGAGTGGGTTTTGCACATTTTATTAGGTTAGAATGGTTTTGACAGTTGTGTTGGCATTTAGCCCGGTAAACCTTTGATAGAGAGGTTTCTAGGTTTTAATAATATTTGGCTAAGGTCTTTTTTTCATTTTTAAGTAACGAAATCTACCTATTGAGAGCCATCAATAAGAAAAGAGTAAAGAGAAAGACCTAATCTCTTCAAGATCTGATGTTACTTTCACTTATCAACTATGACTACCTAAATAGGAATGCAACATGATTAATTGGTGTTCTAATATTCAAATATGATTCTTTGGATTTAATATAATACTTACATATGATATCAAAAACTAATTATGTGATATTATGACTCAAAATTATGTTTTTAAATTTTATTTTTGCATGAAATTAAGTTTTGGGGTAAAATCTTGTGTTTGACGCAATTATACTTTTTTATTTTCTTTTCTTGATATTGACATTGGGCTTTTGTTCTTCTTTACAAGATGATTGAAATCATGTGTGGAATATCTCTTAATTCATCCTATAAAGAGAGAAATCAAGTTTTCAAAAAAATTGAGTTCAAGATTTAAACAAATTTCAAGATTTAATTAAAACCTTGATATTTTATGTATTTTAATTCGAATTGGTGCTTAAACATTATTACTCATATCTTATAGAGATGAAATAAAGAATTTAATTTTATAAAAATTTGAATTAAATGATCAAATTTGAAGAAAATTAAAGCGGGTGGTACATGGGTTTCTTGAAACGAAAATATTATCTTCAATTCCTTAAGATTCATGCATTTTCGATGTGTTTTGTTGCATGATTGTTGTAGATACATGTGTTAATTAAAGTTTAGTGCATTTAATAGCATTAAAACACAAAGAAAAAGAATCCAAATTGAAGAAACAAATCAAGAAACAAAAGTGGGTCGTGCATGAGTATTGAACCCGAAAATAGTTTGCTTAATTTAAATTGATTTAAACTGTTTTGATGCAATTTAAAGCATGAGTTTTGTGAATTCTTGTGATAATTAATGTTTAAAGGGTTTAACTACATCAAAAATCAAATAAATACATGAAAATTTGAAGGAAAAATCAAAACAGACCGGAATAGGTCAAAAAAGCTTCGATCAAGTTGGGTTCAACTCAACTCAAGATTAAAGACGATCACACACTACACCAGACGAAGCCCACGCATAGAGAGTGATGCGTGCGGGGTGTGTGGGCTTGCCTGGTGTCCAATTTTACTCCAGTTTCTTCTATTATTTTATTGAATTTTTTAATTGCATGAAATATTTATTATTTTATATTTATGCATAATTTAGTAATTATTATATTTTATGCACATATTTTTTGATATTTTATTTTATGATAAAATATTTTGACGTGTTGGGAGTCTATTTGAGGTACATACTCTCATCATATGTTGCTTAAAATTTACATACTCTTGACATAATGTTATGTGCATAATTGAATGAATTTAACAAAATTTTTATTTTTTTTTATTTTTTAGACTGTCATCTAAATTTAATATGCTTTGTTTTCAAAAGGCAAATAAGATTTAAACTACACAATGATTTGGTACAATCAATATGAGATTAATAATTTTATTTGGTAATTTAATTTATTGAACAAATAATTTTTGAAAAAATTTTCATTTAGAATAGTTGGAGTTTATAATATTGTCTATACTAATTTATGTGTCCTGTGACTACATTGGGTATGTATCATCATTTTTATTTGTGAAATTTATATTGTGAAATTTATGTGTCTTGTGACTACATTTGATTTAAGTATCTCACAAGAAGAGATAATATTTATAATGATCTAACAAGAAACACATTAATTATTGATGTGTCACACAAGAAGGACCAATTCTTTAAGTATTTAATGACCCAAAGAGATATATATCATGGTTAAGTATTTGGCGAGTGGTCAAAATGCATACACTTAGTTACGTATACAAATTAAAATTATGCGTAATCCAAATTTCTCGATGCGAGAATATACAACTGCTAAATATGGGTGTTTGGCTGCTAAGGTAACTCACTTATTGAAACTTAAAAGATTTTCTCATGTATGGGAACGGGGTGTTGTCAAATTACCTTATACAATTGTTTGTCCAAAGGGAGTTATTGTGTTTAGTAATTTAAAATGCACATGAAAAAGCATGGTTGAGGTTATACTAGTCTAGAAGGTCTATTAGCCAAAGGGGATAGATTTTTCGAAAAGTAAAATATTTTCATAATGGCTTCATGTGAAAAATATCTAATAACATGCCATATTCTTTACTCGAAGGAGTTTGTGATGATACACTTAGACTTTTCAATTTAATTATAAATAACACATCATGAACTATTGCTATTTGTATGGATTGTTGCTCATATATAAAAAGTTGCATTCTTTTGTCTTGAGATTAAAGTTGATTTGGTGATAAAAATTAAGTAGCTCTAATAAAAAATGATTTAGAGTTTAATTAAGTTATGTGTATTTCTTGGACATAATCATTAGGTATTGAACATTTTGTGATGATTGTCCAATTGTTAAAATATTACATTTTGTTAAAAGAATTTGTGAATATTTTAAATATTGTTTAGTCATATGAATCTATGAAGATAATTGTCATATACATGATCAGTAAATTTGTTATATTACTTTGTTCCTATATATCATTATTTGATAAAGTGGTTTTATACAAGATCATGCTTATGTAAAATGTGATATGTGAAATTAAGTTTGATTATTTTGAAAGCATATGTTATGTGTGATAAATATGCTTATCATGCTTACAGTGTTTTAGTTTTACATATATCACATAATTATGATCTAGAATTTTAGGCATTAAGTTTAAAGCCTAATTAAATGCATAATGTGATATATATTTTAGAAATTCATGTTTTTCATGGACATATGAAACATATATGTTGGCAATAATGATTTATGAAAAGCATATAGATTTTATGCTAGTTTGTTGAAATGGTGGGAGCCATGTTTATCATCATGTTCATGTTGCTAATTTTCATTCTATACTTTGCTGACATGGTGGATCCATTCTTTGGTAACATAGGCACTGAAAGATGTTATGAAGCACTTGAAAAGCTAGAGAAGAAGTATGACATTGTTGTGAATATTCAGGGGCATGAACCTCTAATTGAACCTGAGATAGTAGATGGAATTGTTAAAGCTCTGCACGTTTGTTATTCTGAATTTCGTAAAGTATGTTAGTCAATATTGGTTCCTTTGCGTCAAAGTTAAGGCTGATATCTGCATTTTTTTTTCCTGTGACATATCTTGTTCCTTGTATAAGTTCTTGTAGTTTTATGTGGTATCAAAGTGGCCTATTTGTGTTGCAGGCAGCACCAGATGCAGTGTTTAGCACTGCTGTCACCTCTTTGAAACCTGAAGATGCTTTTTATCCAAATAGAGTGAAATGTGTGGTAGATAATCGTGGCTATGCTATTTATTTCTCTAGAGGACTGATTCCATTTAACAAGTAAGATTATGCATCTCTATGTTTTTGTGCGTGAGTATTTTTAGTGTTACATCTTTTGTTTTAATTGCATTTGCATTTTGCGCTAATGTATTTGTCAACTGAATTGATATAGATCAGCGAAAGTAAATCCACAGTTTCCATACTTGCTTCATCTTGGAATTCAGGTATCACGATGATATTTCGCTATTGTTTAAAATTAAAAATAAATCTATTTTTCCTATGTTTCTTCAATTAATTGATGCTACTGAATTTTATGTCTGAACAGAGCTATGATTCAGAGTTTCTAAAAATACATCCAAAGCTTCAGCCTACTCCACTGCAACTTGAAGAAGATCTAGAACAGCTTAAAGTCCTTGAGAATGGCTATAAGATGAAGGTATGGTAAAATCATATACCATTGTTTAATCCTTTTGCTGGTAAGACAAAATTATAGTAAACCTTGTATACCACTTTGCATGAATGTAATCATTGTGTTCTTTATCACATTTAGACCATTGTTTTCACTTTATGACACTTGAGAGATGATAACGTGTCATGTGCTGTTAAAACTTTGAAATTCACTTGTCTTAATCCTGTAGTTTCATATTACTTACCAAATATAACCAGGTGTCCTATGCAAGCATTCACATGGCAAAAGGCCATAGGCTAAATCTCTCATTATGTCACTTATATTCATGATGGAGCTGCCCTCACATAGCAGAAGATTGCTCCATCAAATATGACTGTGGGGCGAGTTGATCTTCTAAAGATATCAGAAGTCAGAACACCCTTCCTGAAATTTGCAGAAAAATCAGCTAATTTTTTACCTCATGCAAAAGTAAATTATCTTTGATTATCCAGATTGAAGAAAATTGATTCATGTAGCCGGTGGAAGCAATTTGCATTTAAGCTGTAATTGAAGTGATTTGAACTAATATTGGATAGTATATAGTGCGTCTTTCTGGGTATTAAATACCAAAATTTTGTATTAAAAGATAAATAGATAAGCTGGTAATAAATTTAGATGATCATGTTAATTCACACCTGTTTTTCCGCAGGTCATAAAGGTTGCTCACGAGGCTCATGGATTTGACACACCTGAAGATGTGGAGAAGATCAAATCTCTAATGCGTGAGAGAAACTTGTCTTAGTTCAAAGAGAACTCAAATCAGACATTTATAATTGAATCTCTTATGGAATAGGTTATATCATTATATGTTTTTTTACTTACATTATTTAGGAAAGAAAGGAAGAATGACCACCATAAAATTCCTTGTAGCACTCTTTGTTGGTGAAGATATGATAGACCTGTCACCCAATCTTACACGTCTTCTAGCACCATTTTTTTCTTTTATTAAAGCACCTATCCAAATACTAAGTCAAAGCAGCAACATGCAGTCAAGGCTGAATAACTAAAACTTGTATAAAAGAAAAAGTTGTATCCTGGGGCGGTCAACTTTCTACTGAGGTAAAGTAACAGTTTTTAGAATTTATACAGCAGAAAAAGTGAGAAACCCAATTAGATTCATAGGCAATTATTGCCAGTCAAAGCAACAGCAAAGAAATCAAAGAAGCAGGGTTAATGAAAATCAGAAAATGTGCTCAAAGCAATGGAAATCCAAACATCAAAAAGTACAAAACCAAGTAGAAGTATGAGCAACCATGATCTACAAAACCTACCATAGTAATCAGGCACCTTTCTCATCCTTTTCCTCTTGAAGCAGCTTGCATATCTCCTCCTTAGCCTTCAAAATGGTGCCAATTCCACCTAGGCCCTTACAGAACATCGAACCTTCGAGATAATCTTTAGTAGCTACCACAAATTGAATATCCCGAGTTCTACACCGTTGAAGAACTCGCTCAAGCACCAACTCCTTTCTAATAACAACAAATTTCCCGTGAATATCAAGCTACTTTCCCTGCTTCTTGTACACCATTTTTCTGGCCCCTGTGGTTATATCTTGTAACTCAAATGCTACTAGATCTAACTCATTCCATAAGAATACAACATGTAAGCAATTCAACTCCAATAGTTTCATAATTGATTCAATGTCTACCACACACCTATCATCCTTATGTGCTATGAGTTCAAGATATTCTTTTAAAATTCTCTTTTGAATAACTATACCAGCATTCCCTAAGATATCAACTGACTGATTGAGAGCTTCACTAAAGGAATATGGCCTCCATAAACTATACTGCATTCTTTCAAAAGGTTCTTAAAAATTTTAGATCCAAAAATTTTCAATAGCTTTCTCCTGTCAGGCAACATTTTCAAACACTTCATTAAGGCAGAGTCAATATCGAAAGGCGAACCAAAAAACAGCCAAGCACATCCCATAAGAGCCTCGATAAGCCAAACATTTTCCAAGAAAGTATGAGCTAAGTACTCTAACTGCCTATGACTTCCTTGCATTAATATTCTTTCACTAAGATGAATATCAGGAAGAACGCTCGCAACATTACCAGAAACTGTAATCAAACCCATTAGCTTCCATCCTACCAGAAAAAACCCAAATTTATCTTCAGAATCTAAAAGGTTTTGAAGAAACTTAGTCTTGAACTCTTTTTGAACAATGTAATCCAATTTCAAACTCTTTTTAAAAGGGACATAGGAAAAGGAAATTGGCTTCTCTAAAGGTTTTCTTAATGGAGGCTCAGTTGCTGAGATTCCTGTGATGAAGAAAAGAAGAAAGGTAAGCGTGTTAGCTTTATAAATATTGTTGAAGTGTTTGGAGATTCAAGTCAAGGAAAGATTTGTTGGGATTTGCCTTGAATCTTATAATCCCACATCAAAAGTTGAGTAAACTTATAAGAGTTGAGACCTTGTCTTTTATCCCACATTGGGAGTTTAGTAAAGTTATAAGGGGGGTTTCACTCTTATAAATAAGATGTTTTGGTTTTGGTTTGGTAGTCCTATATAGTTGGACACCAAAAGAATAATTAGGTGAGTAAGCTATTAAAAGGGTGTAATTGGGTTTTAGGTTAAGTTTTGAGTAAGGAGTTTTTGGAGACTTTTCTCATTCTAAAAATCTCACAATTTGTTAGTGGATTAGGTTTGGAGTAAATTATTTTGAATTAGGTCGAAACAAATATATTTTTTATATTCCTATTCTTGATTTGAGCTTACTATTTTATGTGTAGGTATTGCGTGTGGGTCGAAACAAATATATTTTTATGTTCTTATTTTTTATTTGAGCTTGCTATTTTGTGTGTGCATGTTATGTGCGTGTTGATTTAAGCTTATTTGGATTAACTGACCCCTCAATTTTTGATTTCCCAATGATTTCCTAATAAAAGCTCATTTGGATTAAGTGGTCCCTCAATTTTTTTCAACAATTCTAAAGTATGAGAAAAAGAATTTTTACTTCTTTCCTCTATTATCATATCCAACCTTTCAATTTCTTTTTAACAATTCTAAAGTATGAGAAAAAGAATTTCTACTTCTTTCCTCTATTATCATATCCAACCTGTTCTCCAAACTACTGATCACATATTTTTAATCTTCATAAGGGATTGACAATAAAATCAAAGTTAAGGTAGAAGAACTGTAGTGCTTCAATTTTTTTATAAGTTGGAGCTCAAGAAAATGCATCGTATATGAAGAAAGAAAGAAAAGACATATATAAAGAAAGAAAAAAGAAAAAACATAAATATAAAGAAAGAAAGAAAAGATAAGATTATAAAACTACTAAAATAAAACGAAAAAGAAAAAGAAAATAAAAATTAGTTGAAATCTTTAGAAGCCAAGAAGATGTCACATAATAACTATAATTATACTGAAGAAGGAAGGAAAAAAGAACAAAAGAGAGAGAAATAGACCAGAGAAATGTGAATAAAGAGAATAGCATAAAAGAAAAGAGAATGGTGAAAATAGAAGCATAAAGTTTTAATTTCATTCATTATATATTAAAGCTAACACGTGATATATATATATATATATATATTTATATATAAGCCAACAGGTGCTAAAATCTATGCAATATATTAAAGCTACCCTTTTTTTTTCAATTTAAAACTAGTCATTAAAAAATATTGTAAGTAATTTTGGAAAAAAATTGTGATAAGTGAGAATGGTTTTTGTTTAGCTAGAGAGAGGGACTATTTGCACCACAAAAAAACTCACAATACATCCCAAAAAATTAACCAATAAAAAAATTACTTAAATATCCATTAGTTAATTATTTTTTTAACATTTACACCCCTTTTCATTAAATTATGGAAAATGAATTTTTGAAAACTTCTCTAATGTATTGGAAATTTATTTCGAAAACTTCTTAATTATATCAAAAATTCATTTATGGAAAGTATTGCAGTTATCCAAAAATACATTTTTAGAAAGCATTGCAATTATCCATAAATGTATTTTTGGAAGTAATTTTTTATTTCAATTTCTTTATTACGATTTCTTAACCAATGTTTAGCATGAAAATATTGAATGTCCCTTGCAACGATCTCTAAACAAGTCTATAATGATTTTTTCGATGTATGCGATGTTTAAATTCGATAGTAAAAATCTCTAATCTTTTGGCTAAGCACTGTCTGGTTAATCGTTTGAAATATTTTATCAATTCAAACAAACATGCATTTAAAAGGAATTGCTAATTGAAAAGAGCGTTCGTGAAAATGGCTATTGCACTATGTGCAATGAGGCAGTCACACTCCATTGCACATGGTGCAATAGCCAATTTACATGAGTGCCTTTTCATACTTAATGATTCCTTTCAGATGCATATCTATCTAAATTGTAAAATATTGCGAATGTTATTGAACGGATAGTGCCTGATGGCCGAAAGATTAGAGGTGTCTATTAGTGGATTTGCAGTTTGCTAATGACATATTAGGTTATTTCTTATGTATTGGAAAGTTGTTTGGTCTTTATTGGTGACCGAAAGTTATTGTATACCGAAAATTCATTTCTAAAAGTTTTTTAAGGATTCTAAAAATGAATGTCCAAAAACCATTGAGAAATTTTGAAAATATATTTTCGAAAATTCTTAAAGGTTTTTGAAAGTGAATATCCGAAAACTTTTGAGGGATTCCGGAATGAATTTTTGTTATGTTGAAGAAGTTTTTAGACATTGATTTTTCATTAACCTTCAACAATTTCAAGACATTCATTTAACGAATGCTAGAGTTGTTGCTCTAAATCGCATCCCTAAATATAAAATCCTAAATCTTTTAGAACTAAATACAAAATCAAATGAAAAATTAGAAAAAAAAAATGACTACTTATGACTCTAAGCTATCAAACATAAAAAGGTGATTAGGGCTTGATTTGGGGCTTAATCTCTTAAAGGTTTAGGGCTTTCAATGAAGAAGAAGAGAGGGAGTGTGGGGTGTTTGGATTTTTTAGTAAATTAATATTTTGGTTTGGGGAAGGAATTAGTTAATAGTAGTGGGGTGTGAAGAGAAATAATGAAAGTGTAAATAGTCCCTCTTAGTTTCGTATTAAACCTTTATTTAAATAATTATAGACAATGAACAAAGAGAAGGGAACAACACAAAAGTAAAAAGAAACTTAGGAACAGTTATAGACAACGACCCGAGCTTTTGCCCCAAATTTTTGGTATTCTTCTTTTCCTTTTTCTTATTTTGTTTTCTTATTTAATTTTTTATTATATATTTATTTACTTATTTATTTATTAGAAAAATACTTTAATCATTTGATAATAAAAAAATAAAAGAACAAAAAATGATTTTATAAATTTGTAATTTTGATTTTTTTATTTAAATAAAAAATTTCACTCTCACAACAACATATAGACCAAAAATTAAAAAAAAAAATTAATTAAATTAATTTTCATAAGCAATTGAAATAAGGATCTTTGTGTTACTTTCATAATTAACTAGCATCTTTATTACACTTCTGCAGCGAAACACTAGTAATTATCTAGTACTTACCATTAAACTTAAACCTATTTGTATTAAAGTTGTTAATTTTTGACACATTATTGATTTTCTTTTAATTAAGCTATCAATTTAATGCCATTCGTTATTATCCCAATGCCATCTTATAAAAGTTAAACCTATTAGATCTATTGTTTTTGTACTATTATTTATTAGAGAAATTATCAAAACAGTGATATTTTTTAATTTCACAAATGAGGTTAAGATATAACATATGTCCTTTAGTGTATATTTAAAAAAA